TCTCTCGATATTTTTTATTTATTTGTGCGGCCCGGTTCCAGTGCCACTGGAATCCGGTGCCACCGGCATTTTGGGACACCTCCGGTGCTCCGTTTGCAAAATTTACGATTCCTACCCCTCCTAACCCACCCCCTAAACCCCCCACCCTACCCCCGCCCCTGCACCCCGCCGTAAGCCCCGCACAGAATTGTGTGGGAAGGTTATGTGACCTTATCCACCATAAAATTTGTCAATGCCTCTCCATGAAGGGAATGGAGTACATACTTTTTGGTGCTTTGCCACGAAACAGCATTTGAATATAAAAACTAAATGCAGGGCTGCGGCCCATTGCCATGTGAACCACCTCTCATTTGCACCCAAATTTAGGGGTCCATCCATCCTACACAAGATAAGTTATTAGGGTCCATTTTAATGATCTCATATCGACCTTATTTAAATGTTATTAAAGAAAACTCCCTTAATAGGAGCAGAACATGGATCATATCCTCAAAAGAGGAGTTCAAACATAAACTTCCCTAAATAGGAGTAATTAATTAAATACTAATGTGATAATTTTGTTTTATATATCATCTTTTGATATATTTTTAAAAATCTATATTTAATTAGTGTAAGTTTATAAATAATCTTTTACAACACGAGAGTTTCAACATATAGACTCCAAATTTAAGATATTTACACTCGTGTTTCTCGATATTTGAAAGTTAATCTATTATTAGTTGTGAAGAATACTCTCTTTGGATTTTTGGTACACTTGATTCTTTTCACAAACACCAACCAACGTGAATAAATATCATTCGCCAAATAATATCTCATGTTATATTGGCGACCATTGACGGGACATTACACAAATGGTGCATGCCCGGTGCATATATTGTTGAATAAAGGGGGGCCTTTTATAATCCAAGAAGTGAAATCATTCATGTGCCAAAAGTACAAACTTGAGCTTTTAGTTGAATTGGTTCATTGATATGCTATTAGAGCCTTGTTGACTAAGTGGTCACATATTCGAAACTCAGCGCTACCCAGCTTTTAAAAAATTAGGGTTTCACGTGCAAATACGCATAGTACGTATGCTGCAATTAACATATCCACGACCTCCTCATCTTCTGGAGGAAGAACCATTTTTTGTGATTTGAGAGAGATGAAGAGAAATTAAAAAAATAGGTAAATTGTGAAAGATGAGAATGTATGGATTGAAGTGCAAGATATGTGGAATTTATAAGGTTGAAAGAAAAAATCTGAAAAAAGAGAAAGAAATTCGGCACAGCAGACCGCTACAGTGAACGGTTGCCGCAAAAAAACCTCCACTTTTCCTACGCGGCTTTGTGCCGCTCTTCGGGCGAGCATTGGGGCGGGCACAGCGGTGAAAAAGTAGAATCTCGATCGTATATTTTACGTTCGTTATTTTGCACAAAAGGAGCATATGCTGCTATATTTATTTGTTACGAGACCGAACCAATGCCTTCCAAAGAACCAACTGAACTTTAGCCACTAGCTAGAGATAGATATATTCTTTGGGAAAACACTCGAGTAACCGTCATACACACACACACACACACACACATATATATATATATATGCTCACCCCCGGCCAGTTTGTACTCCATTGACTTCCCTAACACTAACACTATACACTCCATTTGTGTCAAAAAGTTGTCTTCTTTTCATATTTATAAGGAGTATTAATTTTGATTATAAATTATAAGAAAAGTATATTTAACTACGGGGTATAATGTAACTTTAACATAATTAGGTTCATATATAACTTTTATTTATTTAAAATATGTTTATTAATTTGTGATCAAAGTTAACGTAAAAGTCTAATTAAACTATGACACTTTTTTCTGAGACATGGTGAATATGTGTTTTAATAGATAGAGAATATGAAAATTTGTACTGCTACTTCTAGGGGTGGACACGGTACGGTTCCGGGACGGTTCCGGTTCCGGAACCGCCGGTTCCGGTACCGCCACCCCTTGGTACCGGTACCGGTACCGGACCGGCCGGTACCGGTTCCGGTTCCGGTACCGCCGGTTCCGGTACCGGACCGGCCGGTTCCGGTTCCGGTACCGCCGGTTCCGGTACCGTTTCCGGTACCGTTTCGGCCACCCCTGATTTTGTTTTTTTTTTTTTGCTTTTTTATTATATTTTTAAAATGTAAAATTGTAAATGTGTAATTGTTAAAGAAAATGATGAAATAAAAAAATCTAAAAATGAAATTGATAAAGGAAAGAATGGAATAAAAAAATAAAAATAAAAAAAATTACCGGAACCGGAACCGCCGGTGCCGGTACCGAAAAATGGGCACCGGAACCGGTACCGGATTGGGCGGTACCGGTACCGGTTCCCGGAACCGGTGGACCGTACCGGCCGACGGTAACGGTACCGGAACCGGCGGTACCGTTTCCGGTACCGGTACTGTACCGGTACCGTGTCCACCCCTAGCTACTTCTGTCTTTGAGTATTTGTCTAGCTCGAATTTTATCAACCAAAATCGACTACTAATCAAATTAAATTGGTAATCGTATTAGATATTAGTACAAAAATAATTATATTAGATCTATTTTATAAAAAAATTTAAAATATTATCTTATCTAATTAATATACTCCCTTCGTCTCATAAAACCTTTCTCCTTTCTTTTTTCATCCGTCCCATAAAACACTTCTCATTTCTATTAAAAAATCACTTTTATCCATTACTTTTTCATACCCTACCTATCACATCATACCTTTTTACTAATAATCTACCCATCAAATCCTACTTTTACTCATCACATCAAAGGACATTTTTGAAAATTCAATACCAAAATACACTCACTTAAATCTATTCAAAAAGCAAAACATCCCATGTTTCATGGGACGGAGAGAGTAGCATATAATTTTCTTAATGATTGATCAAAAGATGAAAATAATTGAATACAAAAAGTTAAAATTGGACAAATATTTATAGACGTGGCAATACGGAGAAAATCATATAAATGTGTATTTGTTTTAGAACGAAAGAAATATTCGAGAAGTAGTTTAGGTGATGGAGTTATTCTCCAGGCATGTTTGAATTCCACCTTTTGGACCTTTGAAGGCGTGATGCGTCGTCAATCAAGTTAAAAGTAGTTATGGCCGGCGTTGATGGAATATATACATATAAAGATGTCACACCTTAAAAGAAGAAAGAATCCTCATCGCATTGTTTTTTTCTTTCTTTCTTTCTTTCTTTCTATTGAGTAAAAAGTATTCTCATCCTTTCTAGTCGACCAGTCCAATTAGATGTCTTCTTTTCAAATTTCAATAATGCATGGAACTCAAAATTTATTCTCACAGTGTTCTTCTAAATTAATGGAATTATTATCATTATTATTCACATAAAGTTGTGTTGGAACTACTCCATTATTCTTTCCAATTTAAATTTCACATTTCAGTTTTGATGTTTGATTCAAATTATTTTAAAATCATTATATATATAGAATTTAAAAATAACATATTTAAAAAACTACACAAAATAATCTACACAACTAGTCCTATCATGGATATACGGAGGTATATTTAATTATTAAATAACTAACAAAAAATAAGTATCAACAAATAACTATGGAGTATTTTATTAAGTATAAAATAGACATCTACATTATTATTTTTAACTCATCTAAAAAAAATACGAAAATTAGAAAAATAATTATGGAACGCCGGGAGTATCAACAAAAAAATTGCTCCCTAGTTTGACATTATAAATTGCAACAACTTTAATTATTTAGACGGATGATTATTATGTATCCCTCTAACAGACCTCAAAGCCCGTAAAGAGTAAAGACCTGATTATGGGCCCAACCTTCCTAGTCCACATACCTGCAAAAATGAAAATAAAAATTAAACTTATTTTTATTGATGTGCACAAGGTCCGGTCCGGCCCACAGATTTTGGGACATGCAAATCATCACAACATGGGTGGAAAATTACATAAGGTTATGTGATATGAGGGAATGATGGGGTGTAATTGAATGTAAATACATGTGATATAGAGCGATAAAAATATATATTGTACTCTGAGCGTAAATGTGTGAGTTATTTTAGTTGGTTGAGATAGATGTTAAATTTTGATTGGTAGAATTTAAATAAAAAAAGCTTACTTTGGTCACCTTCAAAAGGTATCGCCCCGGTCGCGCCGCAGTCACCCTACCATGGTTGTCCCCCACCCCCCTTCAATACCACATAGCCCAGAGGGAATATTGTATGTTCTGTTATGATTTTAGTGAATCTGAGCCGTGAAGTTTTTTTGATAATTAGATTTAAGGCTATTTTTTAAATATGAATCAAGGTTGTTACACACACACAAGCGCGCACGCACACACACACATACATACATACATACATACATACGTACGTACGTACGTACGTACGTACGTACGTACATACATACATACATAACATACATACATACGTACGTACGTACGTACGTACACACACACACACACACATAAAGTCCAAATAGTCCAACTCAACCAAAAATGGGCCTTGGCCAGGTGGCCGCCATATCCACTTTTTGATCACCAGTTCAAACCTCGATGCAACATAGTTTTTAAAAATTCATATTCATGTAGGAAGCTCGAGCAAATACAAATCTCTCATGCGCGTGAGAGGGGCGTGTTAAAGTATAATACCTTTTCTGAATCTACAACAACGATCTTGAGTTTTTGGTTGAGTTCATTCTTTGACAATGACCAACGTGACATTATTGGCTCGTAAATATTATTCTGATCATGTTTTAAATCGAGCCTAATATCTCTAAGTCAAATGAATTATTTTTTCCGGCATTATTCACTAAAAATATTTACAATTAACATTAGCATTCTAGCTAGATAAATGAAATCTCTAATAATAAGAATTAATTTTAAAAATGCCATAACTAAACATTGTTATTGATTTGGAAAAAGGACCATGCTAGGGTGCCACCACATGGGTGCACTCATGCTTCGCACAGACAAACACAGACGATAATTGTCTGTGCAACACAGACAATTATCATTTGTGTTTGTCTGTGCGAAGCATGAGTGCACCCATGGTAGTACCCATGTGGTGGCACCCTAGCATTTTCTTTGGAAAAAAGATGAGTTGGGCATAGTTTGGTCAAAGTTGAATTGGAAGCGCAAGAAGTCACCCTCAACAGACACACCCCCACGGTCCCCGCCAAAGCCCCACCCCACCGGGCAGACGCTGACAAAACACACAGAAATTGCATTGCGAGGGGATGAAATGCGAAGAATGGCAGCCGTCGGGAGTAACGCCGGCGCTACCGGCGGCGAAGTATGGAAAGCTCATGTCGCCATGGCAATGGTTCAGGTCTTCTATGGAGGATATCAGGTGATTACCAAGGTGGCCCTCAATGTCGGCGTCAATAAGCTCGTCTTCTGCGTCTACCGCGATCTCATCGCCCTCTCCATTCTCATCCCCGTCGCCTACTTCCGGGAACGGTTAGCATTGTTTTTCGCATTTGTAATGGAAGATCAATCAATTTGACCTACTTTTGATCCATATATATATATATATACTTAGAACAAAATTACTTAGAACAAAGCCAATTAGCAGAAAAGAAAGATCTGGCGGATGACACACAATCCGGAAAAATTTCTATTCTTCTAGCAAATCACTGAAATTGAAATGTACAAGTATTTTCACCCTTTGGAGGGTGTTTCATTGATGTGGGGTGAAAAGGAGGCTACTTGAATTGAACTGAAAAGCCAAGGATGATGAAAAAATAATGTGACTTGATGAAATTCAATATCCCTGTGACGAGGAGGTTGAAGAGATCTTAGAGTCCAACAACTCCATTTTAATGATTCCTGCAAAGAATTGAAATTTATCTGTATTTTGTGTCAGCATGATTCTCCGGATGCTCCTAATGGTAGAGGGGCTGTATCTAAATCAAGCTTTGATATACTGTAAAATAAAATCTGTAAATTGTTTTTTCCCTAGAAATTTGCTTATGTGAAGTGTAACTTATAGCCTCGTATTGCAGTCTTGAATCAATTGAGTTTTGATTGAAAGTAGGATTCATTGTGTCCTTGAATGTGACCTATTGTTGAATCCAAAAGAATGAAGAATTGGCATCAAAATCACATTTTTGGCATGATTATTAGCATTGTTTAGCTCTTGATGCCTGTGGACAATGTTTTATGCAAACTTTAGCCCATTATTTATCTATGTTTCACCTGTTTGAGACAGTTATAAAATAGTAGGCGATAGTTTATCCGCATGGATGGCAATTTTTTTTCTTTGAATGCAGATATGCGATGTTCTTTGATTTGACTTATTATTGATATCATCATCACCACCATCATCATCAGCATAGAATAAACTTACACGGATTCATTTTTTTAATTTACAGAAGATTGAGACCCCGTATAAATAGGCAGCTGCTATTGTCATTCTTTACCCTAGGATTAACAGGGTAAGATAAATGGGCTCGAAGCTGTTTAAGTTCAATTTTCTTCTTAAAAGTGTGATGGAATAAATCAAAATGGATCTCTAAACTGTCTGCGCTTCTTTAATTAATGAAGTAGCAGTTAGTCAAGCAATGCAACTTTCGACGTTGAGCCGGGGGTCTCTTTGGAAACAGCCTCTCTACTTTCGAGTAGGGGTAAGGTCTTCGTACACACACCCTCCCCAGACCCTACTCTTGTGGGATTTAACTGGGTTGTTGTTGTTGTTGTTGTTGTTTCTTCTGAAAAGTGTTTATTGTCATTCATTGTAGGATAAGTCCCTGACACAATATCTTTCTGGAAAATTGAAACAGGGTTTTCGGAAACCAACTCTTGTTTATGATTGGTCTTGCATATACGACTCCTGCTTATGCTGCAGCAGTACAACCTGCTGTGCCAGTATTTACATTTATATTGGCCGTGCTGATGGGGTGAGTTCAAGAAGTAATCTTTTCTGCAGAATTTTCTGGCATCTGTGCTACCTATGTATCTGACTATCTTAAGTCTGTCTATGAACGCATATGTTAGAAATTTCGTGCAGCAAAGAGGGGTCGATCACACAATTCTTTACATTTGTGCTTGTGTGAATAAGAGCTAATGTGATCAATGTGCAATGCACCATTTTCTTCCCAAAGAGTTCCTTTTTTCCCTTTTTTCAGGAAATATTATGAAAGTTATAAATTATAAAGACGGAATAAAGTATTACTGTTTTTGTACTACCAAGCAATGCTGATATGCAATCAGCTTAATTTAAGGACGCTGGAGCCATTGTATTTTCTTACTTGGCTATGCACATGTTGTCATTCTCTCCTTTATTTAGGGATCTATCTGTTGCATTTTCATATATTCAATATGACTCCTAAATGTTGTTATGCAGCACAGAAACACTGAAGCTGCTTACTCGAGAAGGTCAAGCAAAGATCGGAGGTACGATTGTATGTGTTTCAGGTGCTATTGTGATGACACTGTTTCGAGGTCCAGCCATCCTTGGGTTTATAGAATCAGAGTTCACAGCACAAAGTGAAATAAGTGCTCGTGGTCAGCCTGAACCGTCTGGATGGTTAATGTCTAGTTTCCTGGAATTTGGTTTTGATTACTGGCACCTTGGCATGCTGTGCTTAATAGGAAACTGTATATGCATGGCAGCATACCTAGCCTTTCAGGTCGGTTGTTTATTTTATACCAAATTAAAGCGTTTAGATTGCATCGCATGACAATGACTAGTAGTGTGAATACATTTTATCAACCATTGCACACACACACACACACAAACACAGCTTGTATACATCTCTAGATGAAGTTGAAATTCACAGCATGTTACCTGCAAAATGTATAGATGAGATGTGATTTGTGTCTAGAACAAGGCTAACCCCTTAGTTGATTGGCAGACACACAAAATGGAAAGTAACTCATTAAGGCTTAACAGTCATTTGGAACACATTTTTCTGTTGTTTTGGCTAAATCTGCTAATAATGATATTGATAACAACAACAATTATAATAAAAATAACAACAATAAGAACAATAATAATAATAATAATAATAACAATAATAATAATAATAATAATAATAATAATAATAATAATAATAAAAGAAGAAGAAGAAGAAGAAGAAGAAGAACAACAACCCAGGTGAATCCCACAACAGTAGGGTCTGGGGAGGGTGTGTGTGCACAGACCTTGCCCCTACTCGGAAGTAGGGAGGCTGTTTCCAAGAGACCCCCGGCTCCACCTGCACAAAAATATGGAAGGGAACACAGTATAACACAGATAAAGCACCAAGTACAAGCAAAGAAGAACAATAATAAGATGATAATAAAGAGTACTATTTGACTTTATTTTTTCTGAATTAACAAGAAAAAACATTGTTACTCTCATCATTTAGATATTATTTCCTTCAATTTATTAAGAAGAACATCCTTTTAGGCTACATGCATTCGGTCAATTCAATTCATTCATTCTTTTAAAGAAAGTGGATGCAATCAGTCAGTTCAGCTTTTTTGTTATCTCAGAGTAAAAAAAGCAACTCACCATACTGTCATTGTATTTTATTTGTGAAGATTACCGAGCAGCTTGTGTTTGTAGTTTGCTTTGCTTATTTTTTCAAAAAGCATAACTGCACTTTTTGTCCTGTATGCTTGTGCACATTTTGTTTCTTGATAGATCACTATCAATCAGAAGATTTATGGTTTACCCCTTCTGAAATGTTTCAGGCACCAGTTCTTAAGAAATATTCTGCAAGCATATCTTTGACAGCATATTCATATCTTTTTGGCACCATATTCATGGTAACCACAGCACTTTTTACAACAAGCCTGCCCACAGATTGGAGTTTGACACAATCTGAAGTTATTGCAGTGTGCTATGCTGTAAGTTTATCTTTTTGTTATGTCTTATTAGTCTATACTTTTCAAGCTCCAACAATCATGTACCTTGTTTCCTCAAGTTGGGATTCACTGATGAGCCAAGTGTTCCGTGGTTTCCGTTGCTTTTCAGAGTAATGGTTGTATTACTAGGATAAGAAATACATTGCTTCTTCTTTACTTCTTGGTTGTCATTTTCTATTTCTATGTACACCAAACAGAAGAGGGCGAGGTTTTCAGCCTTTAACTAAAACCAGTGGGTAGGCCTTGCTGTTATTTTCTAAAAAGTACAGTACAAAAACAATAGTTTAACCAACCATACTAAAACCTTATTTTTTTTCACTGAGGTGGCTTTCTCAACACTATTCTCCTGTCTTATCCTCCCATTTTTGGCAAATTCTTACACTTCATCTGGATTTATATATGTACATGAGCATGTAATAATCCATTTGCATCTGATTTTTAACCAGACTCGAAGTATAAAGTTCCACGTCATTATTAATCGTGCACCGCTGAAAATACTCTTTTCTTAGGCATTGCAGTCTTTTCACTCTGTTTCATTTGCCAGGGAGTTATTGCATCCGCGCTTAACTATGGACTCCTGACATGGTGCAATAAGATTATTGGGCCTGCTTTAGTTGCTCTCTACAATCCTCTTCAACCTGCTGCCTCAGCATTCCTATCACGAATTTTTCTTCAAAGCCCTATTTATTTGGGAAGGTGATACTTGCAGATTTTTCTACCTTCTTTCCAACTTTATCATTACTCTGCAATTCTGCATTAAGTACTCCCTCCGTCCAATTTAGTTGTCCGTTTTCCAAACTCAAATTAAACAAAATTATATTTGAAATTAGCTTGGTTTTCATTAACTGGGCAATTAATTCCAGGCATCCCAAAACGTAAAATGGACAGCTAAATGTTGACGGGGTGGAGTATTGTTTTTAGTCTACATATAGTCTTGGATCCACCCGTTTTTTCACAACAGCAAAAAAGGTTCTTTGTACATAAGCGCTTCCGGTCTAACATTGATTGAGATGATAATGCAGCATATTGGGAGGACTTTTGATCATAGCTGGTCTTTATTTGGTAACATGGGCATCATATAGAGAGAAACACTCATCAATGGTAACTATTCCTCATACTTTTCGCTCATCAGAACCTCTAATTCTCAGAGAATCTTCACCTAACAAGATCTCATAGCAGACTGGACAAAGTTTATACGATCCTACATGTACACCTGCCTAAGATGATCGAATAGCAAGTCTTACACTCCGTTTATAGTTACAGGAAGATCTTACTGTGTCTTATTTGATATTCACATGTTCAAGCATCTATAAAGATGATTATTAATTGTCTCCCGGCATTGTAGATGTTAATGATTTTTCTATTATAATAGAAAAAAGAAGGTGATATGTTTCACTGCTAGCTGCCATCTCAGGCTTCACTGTTTTTTGTGTGTGTGTGAATTATTTCTATATCGTGTTCATGTTTTTAGGACACACCGTCCTCGATGGATGGAGACCGATACCAACCTATTTCCACCTATAATCCTGTAATGCCGGGGGATTTGGGGCACTGAGTCTCTGTAGATGTCAGGTAAATAATAAATATAAATTTATAATAATACACCCTTCGAGGAGAAGGTTTGTATAGCTTAATTCCCACTCTCTGGGAAGTGGCTGGCGTGCAATAAATAGGCTAGGCCTCCCTTCAGGATCCTTTTTTCTGCCAATTCAACTAGTACTCCATTGGGTTCCTATTCGTTTTTTTTGGGGTGTTAAAATTGATAGTTGTGCAATTTATTTTTAGTGTACAGTTGTACACCAAACACGAACCTAAGCAAATGATGCTTCACTTTCTCATGTATTTGATCTGTCCAAAAATAAAATTCTCCTTTATTTATATATTTTTCTTTACCTATCCTCACTGATTGTTTCCTAAGATGAGGTATTCAAATTGTATTTCGTTTTATAGAACTTTTGATGTAATTCTTCAACATAAAATTTTAATTTTGGATCAGGGCCGGCCTCGAAAAATGAAAAAATGAAATTGACCCGGTCCAAAATTTAAATTTTATTGGGCTCTATATTACTCCCTCCGTCCCTAAATAAACTTTCTCTTTCGTTTTTTCTTTGTCTCCAAATAAACTTCTCTTTTTCCTTAAAAAACCTCTTTTACCTCTTACTTTTTCATATCCTACCTATCACATCATACTTTTTTATTAATAATCTACATATCACATCTTACTTTTACACATCACATCAAAGGTATTTTAGGAAAGTCAACATAAAAATATCTCTCCCATAAATTCTCAAAAAGTCAAAAACGGAAGTTTATTTAGGGACGAAAGGAGTAATATTTTAGAATACTTATACTTCAAAATTAATAATAAATTTAAAATATGGGACTCTAAAATTTTAAGTGCACACACCCATGAATCAATTAAATTCATTAAAGCAAAATGAGAATCTTGGTGTCATCACCATGGTGTGGGGTCAAGCTAAGAATGGTGACCGAGATTTTTGCATTGAGAAGTCAGTCACACACATGTTCAATTATATGCTTGTATCACACATTGACATCTGGCCATGAAACAAGTGTGAAGTCATTTTAACAACACGTACGAGAGCTGTCTACTACATATTGAGACACGGTAATGAAGGAAGGATGCTATTATAAATGTGACCTACAACAAAGTGATATATTTCTTTTCGTCTAAAAAAGAATGACATAGTTCACTATATCAAAATCCCAAAAAACTACACTTAAAAAAATATAGACACATGGAAAATTACACTTCATTACTACCATATTTTAGCATAAATTTAATATTAATAAATGCATCTCGAAAAATACTTTTAATTTGAAATATTATATTTGAAATATTTTTATGGGTAACGACGTACTCCCACTTTCCTCCCATCCATATCATGCATGCAAGTATTGGGTCTTAAGTCGATCTCATTTGAGTCTCAAGGGTAATATAGTAGTCAGTCTATTAACCGTTCACGAAAATAGACCGGAGACTACCCAACTCGATCAATAATGATTGCATGTCAGAGATTGATATTGTACTCCATTTTATTAGTTTTACAATTATATAAAAAAAATACAAAATCTCCATTCCTAAATATTTATCTAATTTTGACTTTTTGCAATCAATGTTATTTAGCACTTTGAAGAAGTACGTACATTTTTACTCAATCCGATCAGTTTTTTTTTAATTATATTACTCTTTGTTTTCCTTCCACCCACCAACCTTGGGGTGGTTCATGTCTTAGTTTATGTTGATGATAATTGTTATTTCGGGCAATAATATGACTATGATTGCCAATTAAGTTCAATTACTATTTGGCCTCTTTGTACGTTTTCATACACACTACTGAGTATATCTGAAGGGTCTTGGGGGTGTAAAATATTTTTTCGACATTGAAGTTAATCAGCGTTCCTGTGGTACTTTTTCTTGTTCCAAACAGAAAAGTGGATTTTCAAATGGTTTAAGTAAATTATTTTCAAAACCGAATCAACCTATTTTCAAAATTGTATAGAAGGGTTCTCAAAAAAATAAATACCAAAAATGTCGAACTGAATCGCTAACACTGAAATGATTCCTTAATAGATTAATTATACATTTTCATTTGTTCTTTTACCACGTTTAAAGGATACTCTGGATTTATTTGGTGTAACATTAACATACTCAAACTTATATTTTTATAGTAGTTTATACACCGGAGTACAAGTCAAATAAAATTTTTATTTGTTAGAAAATCAAAATATATTTATATTTTGACAATAATTATAACTAAACGATACACTTGTTAAGTAACAATGCAAGACTAAACAATACTTCTGATTCTGACTTAAATATGTTCGAAATAGAAATTTATTGCTCAATGCAAGACTTTGTTTGGAGCCACCCAATTGTGTTGAGTCAAATTTCTTTTCTAATTACAAACTTTCAGAACACACGTGTTGAACGCTTTAAGGACTTATTGATGCTCCATTTTCTCCACCAAGATTGTCCCCAAAATATATCGATGTGAATACTGGATATAGAGATTAGATAAGTTTGAGAAAATTTTGTTGTCACTACACCAACATGCATGCTTTCACAAGACACTAAATAGACATGGAAACATTAAACAATAAATCTATATAACTAATCTATATTACTTGTAATATATCTTTTATACATATGTCTAACATTAATTACAGAATATCCTGTATTATTTTACATACTCCCTCCGTCCCCTTGTATTTGTCCACTTTCATTTTTACACATCATCCAATGCACCTCTTTAATCCATTTTATCTTGTAATTTGTATATTAAAAAAGTATAAAAATTATATATTAATAATCTACTCCCTCCGTTTTTTAAAAGTGTTCATATTTTGACTTTGTGTAAAAATAAGGAAGTGTTAAATTGTAGTTGACTTCCAATTTTGCCCTTGATGTGATGGGTAAAAGTAAGATATGATGGATTGAGTATTAGAGAAAAAGTATGATGTGATAGGTAGGGTATGAAAAAGTAAGGGTAAAAGTGGTTTTTTAATAGAAAGTGGAAGTGTTTTGTTGGAAGTAAAAAAATTGAAAGAGGAAGAGTTTTTGAGAACGGAGGGAGTATATGTTAAGATAAATCAAACAAGATCACACATGACTATATTTAGACTTACACATTGAGAGAATTTGATGAGTCAAAGTGTTTAGATGAACAGTTCCAAAAGTCAAATGTGGACAAATACAAGGGGACGGAGAGTGTATAAAGAAACACACACATACACACAAACTATAGAGTATATGACTAATTAATTAACGCATTTTGAGTAGGTGAGTCTCGGGAACAAAGATGCCGTGGAAGCCATAAGGAACCCGGGGGAGGAGCTTGACAGCGGCGACAATGTCGAGATGGGGAGTCCGAGCGTCCATGACGATGAACCTCGACTCCCCACTTCTCTCGTCGTGCACGTACGACAGAATATACCCGTCGTCCTCCTCCGCCACACCTCCGTTATATTTGCCCACAAAATATGGCTCTCCCCCGAAGCACCCCGCCCCGTACAGCCGACTGGCCACTATGCAATCCCGGCGGTCGGTTTCCGTCGCCGAGATGTCCAGCTTCACCACTCCACTTATCTTTGGCATCGGATCCCCTACGCCTGCGTACACAAACCTGGATATTTTTTTTTAATTATTATTTAGCTTAATTATTAGCACATGCAAACTTGAAATAATGAGATAACTTAGCTCGGATAATAGAATAATTGTATTATTCAAAGAATAATGGAATAATGACTTAACTAGAAATAGGAATCAATAATAAAAATTGACTTAAATATAAAGACTACCATAATTGATAGTACCATGATTATTACTCCCTCCATCCCATTATATTTTTCTATTTTGATTTTTTTAGCTAAACTGAACAAACTTTAATCATTTGTTATTCTTAATTTGGGTTGCATACATTACTATTCTTTTAATAGAGGTCAAAAATTTATCTAATATAAATTGACTCAAAAAAGTCAAATTAGATAGATACACTGGGACTGAGGCAATATTGTTGTCTAACAAAACTAAGTTGATTACGTTTGGGTTAATTTATAACTTTATGAGGCCAATATTTTTAAGAGTTATCCTAATGTGGTCTTAAGATCAACATTTTACATGTGAGTCTTCTCATATATTTTTCATGGACTCACAATGAAATTTCTTTTTTATAAGACCCACTACCGATAATAATTTTATGTATTAAAATCCATTAAATGAGAATAAACCTAAGAATCAAGAAAAATTTGCCCGAGTAAACAAACTTTTGTTAATTGTGTGTTTTTCTTGATTATTTGATAAAATAAAATATTCTTATCATATTTTTTTGTAAGACTTGTGATATTGTTTTAACTATGTAAATTTTATTTTTATCTGTATATAAAAATAATTCAAAAAATTTAAAATTTTATTTGAGTTTGGGAAGGGAGTAGAGTAGATAATGGGCGTGACAAGTGAAAATAAAGTTGGGGGCCGGGGCCATATTATATGGAAGGCATGGGAGATGGAGATGCATCAATGGGGGGCATCCCTTGTGAATAGCTTTAAGTGAATGCTATATATATATATTCCCATATATATCCCGGCCGGATATTATTATTAGGTCATTTACGTCTTTATTTTACAGTGTTAAACTTATTTTTGTCTCAACATGCATGTGCTGACTGCTGAGGGGTCGATTATAATTCTTCAACAACAATATTCATAAATAAATAAATATAGCTTTTCTCAACGTACTCTCGATCCATTACAATCACATGGAAATACTCGGTATATATTACGTACTACCATCCATATATTGTTTTTTGTTTTGGCATATATATATTTATATA